AATCCGAAGCCGGCTTTCATTTATCAGTCTTCAGCTGAAGGCCGACACTAGAGCAGCCAATCCGAAGCCGGCTTTCATTGATCAGTCTTCAGCCAATGGAGAATGCTAGAGCAGCCAATCCAACGCCAGATTTCATTTTTCAGACCTAGACCTTTCATTTATCAGTCTTCATCTGAAGGCCGACACTAGAGCAGCCAATCCGAAGCCGGCTTTCATTGATCAGTCTTCAGCCAATGGAGAATGCTAGAGCAGCCAATCTAACGCCAGATTTCATTTTTCAGACCTAGACCTTTCATTTATCAGTCTTCATCTGAAGGCCGACACTAGAGCAGCCAATCCGAAGCCAGCTTTCATTTATCAGTCTTCAGCTGAAGGCCGACACTAGAGCAGCCAATCTGAAGCCGGCTTTCATTTATCAGCCTTCAGCTGAAGGCCGACACTAGAGCAGCCAATCCGAAGCCGGCTTTCATTGATCAGTCTTCAGCCAATGGAGAATGCTAGAGCAGCCAATCCAATGCCAGATTTCATTTTTCAGACCTAGACCTTTCATTTATCAGTCTTCATCTGAAGGCCGACACTAGAGCAGCCAATCCGAAGCCGGCTTTCATTTATCAGTCTTCAGCTGAAGGCCGACACTAGAGCAGCCAATCTGAAGCCGGCTTTCATTTATCAGTCTTCATCTGAAGGCCGACACTAGAGCAGCCAATCCGAAGCCGGCTTTCATTTATCAGTCTTCAGCTGAAGGCCGACACTAGAGAAGCCAATCCGAAGCCGGCTTTCATTTATCAGTCTGCAGCTGAAGGCCGACACTAGAGAAGCCAATCCGAAGCCGGCTTTCATTTATCAGTCTGCAGCTGAAGGCCGACACTAGAGAAGCCAGTCCGAAGCCAGCTTTCTTTTTTTTTTTTCAGACGAAGGCTGACACTGGATTTCTGGTCACTCTGTGCTCTCCTCCACCCTGTGTGGCCCGAGGCCTGTGAACTCATTAACATTGCTGGCTCTGTGTGTTGTCAGACTCATTGCTGTATGGGGGAGGGGGAGATCCCGTACACAGAAGGTTCCTGTATCACTGCCTGAGCCGCCATCTTCCTTGGCAAAGGGAGGGTTAATTGCCTGACACCCGGGTCCTCCTGTGTATTGGGGGCGGAGCATACTGCATGATCCCGCTGCAAATAAAACACTACATGGCTGTGTGATGTGCGTTGTGCTGCATCTGAGTGATTTCATTCATTAAAATGGACCTGAACCCCGGAAGTGAAGTGTTGCTGTGTTGGAGGGAACAGCTAGACGTGTCACTTGTAGAAACCCGGTGCTCTGAAAAATTGTCTTTTTTGTCTCTAATTCTTCCTGAAAACTAGTAGTAGCCTGGGCACTCCTGAGATCGGTGCGCTTCCCGTGTTTGGGCACTCCTGAGATCGATGTACTTCCTGTGTCTGGACACTCCTGAGATCGGTGCACTTCCCGTGCCTGGGCACTCCTGAGATCGGTGTACTTCCTGTGTCTGGGCACTCCTGAGATCGGTGTACTTCCTGTGTCTGGGCACTCCTGAGATGGGTGTACTTCCTGTGCCTGGGCACTCCTGAGATGGGTGTACTTCCTGTGCCTGGGCACTCCTGAGATGGGTGTACTTCCTGTGCCTGGGCACTCCTGAGATGGGTGTACTTCCTGTGCCTGGGCACTCCTGAGATGGGTGTACTTCCTGTGTCTGGGCACTCCTGAGATCGGTGTACTTCCTGTGTCTGGACACTCCTGAGATGGGTGTACTTCCTGTGCCTGGGCACTCCTGAGATCGGTGTACTTCCTGTGTCTGGGCACTCCTGAGATCGGTGTACTTCCTGTGCCTGGGCACTCCTGAGATCGGTGTACTTCCTGTGTCTGGGCACTCCTGAGATGGGTGTACTTCCTGTGCCTGGGCACTCCTGAGATGGGTGTACTTCCTGTGCCTGGGCACTCCTGAGATGGGTGTACTTCCCTTGCCCGGGCACTGCTGAGATCGGTGTGCTTTCCGTGCCCGGGCACTCCTGAGATCGGTGCGCTTCCCGTGCTTGGGCACTCCTGAGATCGGTGCGCGTCTTGTGCCTGGGCACTCCTGAGATTGGTGCACTCCCTGTGCCTAGGCACTCCTGTAGTCTCATAGCTGTATATTTGCAGCGTGAGATCATGAAAGGCACTGCTGCCTCAGGCTGCTGGTCTTGTGAGATTTGGTGATGTCACCACCGTGCTGCTCACTGTTCTCCTTGCTGGAGGGAGAGCTGTACCTGAGGACCTGCAGTACAAAGATCTCTCTGCTTCATCCATTCTGTAGATCTGTGCTGCCTCCACCTATGTCATTACCCCTCCTTTAATGGGGGGGGGGGGCAATCTCTGACATGAGGAAGCAAAGCCCTGCCTCTACCAAGATGGCCGCCTCCACCTACAGACAGTGCAGAGCAAGACATGGTAAGTTCGTAATGAAGAAAAGCTCATCTGCAAGGAGGACACAGGAGTAATACTACTTTGTCCTTTTGGTCAGTTTGCAGAATTCAGTTCCTGGTGAGGCCTCATTCACATGGGGCATAACACAGCGTACATCCATGTGGGGGCTGTGTATACCCAGATGTAGTGTCAAGGAATGCCTGAACCATTAATTTAGTTCGCTAAATCGAACCACAGTGCCTCCAATACAAAAATAATTTATAAAAATAATTTAACTGACTTAATTATTTTGAGTTATTTTACAAAGTAGAAATCATTAAAGAAAACACAGCAAGATCGGTGTAAGTATAGACCAGACTTTTTCGACCAGGGTGCCTTCAGGTTTCTTCAGGGTTGCCCTGGGAAAATGCCTGCAAATTGCCCAAAAACTGTATACAAGCCAGCAGGCGGATCAAGCCGGCCTTTTACTTACATAAAGCCACAGGTTTTCGTTGCGCACCATTACAACTTTCTAGCAGCTGCCGCAATGGAAAACAACAATGTCATGAGCTGATAGGAGGGACATCGAGTGTTTGCCCCTCCTCTGCTCCTCTCCATCCGAGAGAGAGGACCATGGAAGACTAATCAGTACCAGTGTACAAATGTGAACAAATCTCCTCTGTACCTTTCCCTGACCTCACCCCGTACCTTTCCCTGACCTCTCCCCCGTACCTTTCCCCGATCTCCCCCCCCGTACCTTTCCCCGATCCCCCCGTACCTTTCCCCGACCTCTCCCCCGTACCTTTCCCCGACCTCCCCTCACCCGTACCTTTCCCCGATCTCTCCCCCGTACCTTTCCCCGACCTCCCCTCACCCGTACCTTTCCCCGATCTCTCCCCCGTACCTTTCCCCGACCTCCCCTCACCCGTACCTTTCCCCGATCTCTCCCCCGTACCTTTCCCGACCTCTCCCCCGTACCTTTCCCCGACCTCCCCCCCCCCCCGTACCTTTCCCCGACCTTCTCCCCCATACCTTTCACCGACCTCTCCCCCGTACCTTTCCCCGACCTCCTCCCCCGTACCTTTCCCCGACCTCCCCCCCCCCCGTACCTTTTCCCGACCTCCCCCCCCGTACCTTTCCCCGACCTCTCCCCCGTACCTTTTCCCGACCTCCCCCCCCGTACCTTTCCCCGACCTCCCCCCCCCGTACCTTTCCCGACCTCCTCCCCCGTACCTTTTCCCGACCTCTCCCCCCGTACCTTTTCCCGACGTCTCCCCCCGTACCTTTTCCCGACGTCTCCCCCGTACCTCTTCCCCGTACCTTTCCCCGACGTCTCCCCCCGTACCTCTTCCTGACCTCTCCCCTTGTTCCTTTCCCCGATCTCTCCCCCGTACCTTTCCCCGACCTCTCCCCCGTACCTTTTCCTGACGTCTCCCCCGTACGTCTTCCCCGTACCTTTCCCCGACCTCTCCCCCCGTACCTTTCCCCGACCTCTCCCCCCGTACCTTTCCCCGACGTCTCCCCCCGTACCTTTTCCTGACGTCTCCCCCCGTACCTCTTCCCCGACCTCTCCCCCGTACGTCTTCCCCGTACCTTTCCCCGACGTCTCCCCCGTACCTCTTCCTGACCTCTCCCCTTGTTCCTTTCCCCGACGTCTCCCCCTATACCTTCTGGAGCTGTTTTTCACGGAAGATCTGTATGTATTGATTGTGGATCAAAGCAATTTATATGCACAACAATTTATCGCCGCCAACCCAAATTCAAACCTTTCCAGACCATTCGCATGGAAACTCATTACGGTTTCGGAATTTAAAGGTTTTTTTGGGCCTAACCGTCAACATGGGCATTACTAAAAGAAATGAATTGTGTTTGTATTGGTCCGCAGACCTGATTCCTCATATGCCGTGTTCCCTGCTGCCATGGCCAGGCATAGATATGAGAGTATAATGTGTTTTATGCATTTCAATGACAATACACTCTGTCATCCTCGGGGTGACCCTGAATTTGACCGGCTCCACAAAATTCAGCCCCTCGCAAATCACCTTAACCAAAAATTTGCAGATGTCTATACTCTCCAGCAAAACATCTGCGTTGATGAGTCCCTCATTCATTTTTCTAACCACCTTGCATTCAAACAATTTCTCCCCAGCAAGCGCGCCAGATATGGGGTCACGATGTAGAAGACCTGTGAGAGGACAACAGGCTATACTTATAAGTTTCAGATGTACGAAGGAAAAGATAGTCACGTGGAGCCCCCCGGATACCCAGACTACATGGGGAGCAGTGACAAGATAGTTTGGGACTTGGTGTCATCGTTTCTCCATATGGGGTACCACTTATACGTGGACAATTTTTATTCAAGCGTACCACTATTTAGACATTTGTACAATCTTGGAACTGGCGCATGTGGCACCGCGTGACCTAATGTGTGCCCAGCTTGGCTCTTCTCTGCAGACCTCCAGCGGTCCTACCTGTTCCTCGGTCCAGCGTGTCCTCAGTCTTCTCTCCCAGGCGGAGACATGGGCACTCAGCTGTGACAGCTTGCAGCTTCACAGCCAGGTGCCCAGTGCGCATGAGCGAGAAACGCTGTGCTTCATGAATGGTCCTGTAGTTTTCTGGGACCTGTCATGTGTCCCAATACGGGGAGGGAGGGGAGGAGGACAACACCGTGGGAGTGGGAGTGGGTACCTGCTCCACCCCTCCACTCCCCAAAGATCCGCAGTCTCTGGTCATCTCCTGTACTGTGTCCGCAGTCTCTGGTCATCTCCTGTACTGTGTCCGCAGTCTCTGGTCATCACCTGTACTATGTCCGCAGTCTCCGGTCATCCCCTGTACTGTGTCCGCAGTCTCCGGTCATCTCCTGTACTGTGTCCGCAGTCTCTGGTCATCTCCTGTACCGTGTCCGCAGTCTCTGGTCATCTCCTGTACCGTGTCCGCAGTCTCTGGTCATCTCCTGTACCGTGTCCGCAGTCTCTGGTCATCTCCTGTACCGTGTCCGCAGTCTCTGGTCATCTCCTGTACCGTGTCCGCAGTCTCTGGTCATCTCCTGTACCGTGTCCGCAGTCTCTGGTCATCTCCTGTACCCTGCAGTCTCTGGTCATCTCCTGTACCCTGCAGTCTCTGGTCATCTCCTGTACCCTGCAGTCTCTGGTCATCTCCTGTACTGTGTCCGCAGTCTCTGGTCATCTCCTGTACTGTGTCCGCAGTCTCTGGTCGTCCCCTGTACTGTGTCCGCAGTCTCTGGTCGTCTCCTGTACTGTGTCCGCAGTCTCTGGTCGTCTCCTGTACTGTGTCCGCAGTCTCTGGTCATCCCCTGTACTGTGTCCGCAGTCTCTGGTCGTCCCCTGTACTGTGTCCGCAGTCTCTGGTCGTCCCCTGTACTGTGTCCGCAGTCTCTGGTCGTCCCCTGTACTGTGTCCGCAGTCTCTGGTCGTCTCCTGTACTGTGTCCGCAGTCTCTGGTCGTCCCCTGTACTGTGTCCGCAGTCTCTGGGTCGTCCCCTGTACTGTGTCCGCAGTCTCTGGTCGTCTCCTGTACTGTGTCCGCAGTCTCTGGTCGTCTCCTGTACTGTGTCCGCAGTCTCTGGTCGTCTCCTGTACTGTGTCCGCAGTCTCTGGTCGTCTCCTGTACTGTGTCCGCAGTCTCTGGTCGTCTCCTGTACTGTGTCCGCAGTCTCTGGTCATCTCCTGTTCTGTGTCCGCAATCTCTGGTCATCCCCTGTACTATGTCTGCAGTCCATTGGTTCAGAATATTTTTTTCCTGTTTTGCTCCTCTAAAATCTTGGTGCGTCTTATGGAGCGAAAAACAGTAGTTTTCTAGCTAAAAAAAACTGTTTTTTCATGTAAAAGAAAAGTGTCAGAAAAGGCTTGGTCCTCAAGAGTGGGTGATGTGGGGCATAAGCTTCTAATGTTGGCCCTGAAATTCCAAGATAGTAGAAGCCCCTCCCCCCTCCAAATGACCCCTTTTTGGAAAGTAGACACCCCAAGGAATTTGATAAGAGGCATGGTGAGTGTTTTCCAGATCTCATTTGTTGCCACGTTTTTGGAAAATGAAGAAAGAAAACAAAAAAATTTATTTTTTCTTTTTCAAAACCCTGTGACAAAAATGATATCTGTAATATACTCACCATGCCTCAAATTTCTTGGGGCATGTACTTTCCAAAAAGGGGTCATTTGGGGCGGTGTTTGTACTATCCTGGCATTTTAGGGCCTCTGAAACTGTGATAGGTAGTGGGGATGTGATATGAAGAAATATGCCCTTTGAAAGCCTGGAGGTGGTCATTGGATTTTGGGCCCCTGTATGTAGCTGGACTGGCAAAAAGTCTCTCATGTGTGGTACCCCCATACTCGGGAGAAGTAGGAGAATGTGTTTTGGGGAGTAATTCCACATATACCCATGGCTTCTGTGAGCAATAAATCATTTCAGTGACAACTTTGTGTAAAAAAAAATAAAAATAAAATAATTGTCATATTCAACAAATTTGTGGCAAAAAATAAAATGTTCCATGGACTCAACATGCCTCTCTGCAAAATCCTTAGGGTGTCTACTTTCCAAAAAGGGGTCATTTGGGGGGGGGGGGGGATTTGTACTGCCCTGGCATTTTAGCACCTCAAGAAATGTAAAAAAAGAAAGTAAAAGCTACATAAATTCCAATATATACTATATACCATAGTTTTGTAGACGCTATAACTTTCACATAAACCATTTAGCCCCACCCCCTCCTGAGGATTCCCCTCCCCCTTCCTTACAAGGCCATTTTTTGCGATGCGGCTCTGCGGGTACTTTAAATGACAATTGCGCGGTCATGCAACGTCGCACCCAAATTAAATTTACTTCTTTTTTCCACAAGTAGAACTTTCTGTGGTATTTGATCGCCTGTGCGATTTTTATTTTGTGCACTATTAACAAAAAAAGACCGACAATTATAAGGAAAAAAAAAAACAATATTTTGGACTGTTTGCTATAAACACGTCCAGTAAAAAAATGTAAACAATCAAATTTTGTCATAAATTTCGGCCAAAAATGGCTCCCGCTCCGTGTTTTTGCTAAAAAAAAAAATCCTGATAAGTGTAAATTATTTGGTTTATGTGAAAGTTATAGCGTCTACAAATGGCGGGATGGATACTGGGATTGTTTTTACTAGTAATGGCGGCGATCAGCGACTTATAGTGGGACTGTGGCGGATATTCTGACACTGAAGGGGGAACTAACTTGGTGTCACTGACATCCCCTGTGACACCTGTAACGGAACCGGAACCCAGACCGCACTGAGTTTTTCCGTTATACTGCAACTTCCCCTGTCCGAACACCATCCACGGACCACACCCTTGAAATCCCTCAGGAAAATAGACAATACCCAGCTCTTACTAAAACAGGAAGCCAACAACTCTTTATTTTTCACAAACAACATGTTTTATACAGAGGGCGGGGAAACACATCCAGGAACAGGAAATACATCATCAGCCCACCCTCTCAGTGGGAAGGGCTACAGTATAGGCAGGAAACACCTCATCACCCCTCCCCATCCAACCAGACACAGAACAATGGGATGCAACCATGTGGCAAAGGACATTGACCAACCCCCACACCAATACACAAACAGTACATCCCATAATAGTTGGCTGGACAGGAAGACACAGCACAATGGGGGGTAGCACATGGCAGGGACAAAGGAACACACACTATACACAATACTGGGACATTCACACCCTGTACCCCTTAACAGGCACAGGGTGGGTTAAACATAATGAGGGGGACATGAGCTGACCAAGCGGTCCCCCCACCCCCAAAAGTCACTCCCGTCACATATCTCCCCTTTCGGCAGGAGAGTAACACAGGAGTAGATCCCAGACGGATGTACTCTGAAGTTACTCTGCACCTCCAGTCCTCCAATGCCGGCACCCACACAGTACCCCAAACAAATTGTCCCACACCAAGCGTTACTCACCCAGCCAACCTCTGCCTCTCCCGTAGAACATACCCGCCGCTGGGGAGAAGTACGGACTGGTCCTTCTCCCGGGAATCCTCTCAGCCACTGGGGAGAAGACAGGGTGGCTGGGCCGACTCCATCCTTCTGTGGGGGATCTGGGCCGACTGCCCAGCATCCCTGGGGTATCCAGGTGGTGGCTGTAGTTGCTAGGCAGAGGCCAGCGGCGCTCTGCCCTGTTGCCAGAACTTCTGCTGGGGACCCCACATCTGCTCCGGCTAACCGTAGGGGAGGGAGGCCAGCTTCCTCCCCTCCCAGACTGTGGATCTGCTGCTGGGATGGCACTCCTCTGTCACTGTCCCCCTGGTGCACAGATCCTGGCTTGGGAGGGAAAACAGTTTCCTCCACTCTGGCTGACTGTGGGGTAGAGAGGACAACAACCTCCTCTCCCTTCTCACCCTGGGCCTCTGAAACTACCACAGGTGTGGGGCAGAGGTCCTGGACCCTCTCTCCGGTTGTCAGCACTTCAGCTGGCGGCTCCCGGCTGGTTCCTCCTCAGAAAAGAAATCAATCAAATCCCCAGCCTCTGGAACTGGTGTTTGGGGATCGGGGCTCACCATCTCCTGTCCGTGGAACTCAGGAGACGTTACCAGTGCTGGGCAGAGTTCAGTAATGTTTGGCCCTGTTGCCAGGTCTACTGCTGGTTCCTCCTCAGCAGAGAAGTCTATCAGATCCCCAGTCTCTAGAATTTCCACTGCTGATTCTTGGGCATGCTGCTGAACATGTCCTAGCAGCTGCCTGTATGCCCTTTCTAGATCCAGTTCTTTCTTCAGCAGGTATTCCAGATCTGGTTTAGGGTTCTGAGACCAAAACATAGCCTCTTTGCCTTCCCGCAACTCCTCCAGAGTAGGTTCTCCTCTATCGCCAAACACAAAAAGATTTGTAAGGCTCTCCCACAGCAATCCAGGCCCACCAAAGTCATGTCCCTCAGGAAAGCATTCTGTTGCCTCCCCTAAATACTCCTGCTCTGCGTACCATTGCAGAGCCCGATATCTATTGTTCAGTTGTATTTCCTGCTGGACCAGCCTGTCCAACTCAGTCACCCATTGCTCCTGGGGTTGCTCTCCCAGGAATGGCATCCGTAACTTCCGTTGGTCCCTGGCCCGTTCCTCTGGGGTTGGATACCACTTGCTTTTGTCCATACCAGCAGCCTGGACGGCTCCTCTCCAAAGCACCTCCCAAATCCGCTGCCTGAGCTCCAGGTACTGATCTGTAGACACAGTCCTGGGGTATGTTGCAAGAACAGTCTGTAGCAGCCCTGGGAACTCTGATGCCAGGTCCATATCTCCACTGGGGTGACTGACGTCTTTTCCTGCTCTTGAATCCCGGTGGTGGTTTGGATGTGTTTACAGCTGGAAGCACAATCCCACCGCTGCCACCAATGTAACGGAACCGGAACCCAGACCGCACTGAGTTTTTCCGTTATAGCACAACTTCCCCTGTCCGAACACCATCCACGCACCACAGCCTTGAAATCCCTCAGGAAAAAGAGACAACACCCAGCTCTTACTAAAACAGGAAGCCAACAACTCTTTATTTTTCACAAACAACATGTTTTATACAGAGGGCGGGGAAACACATCCAGGAACAGGAAATACATCATCAGCCCACCCTCTCAGTGGGAAGGGCTACAGTATAGGCAGGAAATAACTCATCACCCCTCCCCATCCAACCAGACGCAGAACAATGGGATGCAACCATGTGGCAAAGGACATTGACCAACCCCCACACCAATACACAAACAGTACATCCCATAATAGTTGGCTGGACAGGAAGACACAGCACCATGGGGGGGGAGCACATGGCAGGGACAAAGGAACACACACTATACACAATACTGGGACATTCACATTCACACCTTGTACCCCTTAACAGGCACAGGGTGGGTTAAACATAATGAGGGGGACATGAGCTGACCAAGCGGTCCCCCCACCCCCAAAAGTCACTCCCGTCACAACATCAATACAGTGATCAGTGCTAATACAAGGCACTGACATTGTACTAATGGCGCTAGGCAGGAAGGCGTTAATGTGAGGGGCGATCAAAGGGTTAACTGTGTGCAGGGAGTGTTTTACTAGTGTGCAGGGGTCTGTTACTAGGGGGCGGGGCCTGTGTTACTAGGGATGGGGACTGTGTTACTAGGGGGTGGTGTCTGTGTTACTAGTGGGCGGTGTCTGTGTTACTAGTGGGTGGGGGTCTGTGTGCATCACTGTACTCACACGGCTGTGGATGGCTGTGCTGTGTAGTGTTCCGGAGCCGGCAGGGAGGAGTGTTAGTAAACAAATCAATCTTCCTCCCT